CCTTTATCTAAAGGTATGATTTGGCAATTATGCAAAAAATTGACTGGTCGTTGGTGCCTTCTTGATGCTTGTTCATAGTACCCCGATCAACTATTGATGACGAATATGCTAATGCCACGGAACGAGATCCAAAGATTTTACTAACAACATCACGTGATCCAAGTGCTCCTCTTACACAATTTGTAAAGGTTGGTCTTATCCTCTATTTTGTCGTACATCTGTAAACTGCTTTCCGGAATTTTGTACCTGAAACAACTGTTTTCCATCCAGGAACTAAAATTTGTCTTTCCTAATACACAAAGAATGAATCGCGGTGGCCAGGTTCGTTTGTAGTTAAATTTTTTTTTTTAATAACTTTCCCTTTTTTTCTTTTGTTTTGCTCACCCCATTAAACTTTTCTCTATTGCTTCCGTGGGGGTAATCTGGTTAAGGATCTCTGATGATGGATTTTGGGTGTTGTTGAATGTAGAAGAACATGAGGATAATGAGATATATTTCTGTTGCATGACATTTTCTGCATTATGTCCCTAAGAGATAGTTTAAGAAGCATACTTTTGTTAGTTCTGTAATAGCAAGAATCATTGTTTACCAGGAAAAAGTGAAGACGATGAGTACTGAGGGTAATAATGTTTGGGATATTGTTGTAGTTATATGATGGCTGCTGTGGCAGAAACTGATAATATGGAGGTTCTTCATGGGTGCAAAATATTTTAATTAAGGATTCGAGTCATAGAAAGGTACTGAGTCTATTTGATGGCTGCTGTGGCAGAAACTGATAATATGGAGGTTCTTCATGGGTGCAAAATATTTTAATTATCTAAGGATTCGAGTCATAGAATGGTACGGAGTCTATTTGATGGCTGCTGTGGCAGAAACTGATAATATAGAGGTTCTTCATGGGAGCTAAATATTTTAATTATCTAAGGATTTGAGTCATAGAAAGGTGCTGAGTCTTAGTGAAGTGGTCGTTACACTATGGGATGCAGCAAGTTATGGTGGATTTCAAGTAGCTGATGTAACCTTCCAGTAGGAATTACATGATGGAGATGGTTAGCATTTATCAAGAAGATATTAAGAAGAGTGTTTTGCTGGCTTAGTACTGCTTAAGTTAATTGTGATGTGATGGTTAACTATTGATATTACATGAATGTTCAATTGCCATGAACATCAAATATTTGGGGGCAAGTAATTCTGAAAGCCAATTGAACAAATGTGCCTTTTTTGAGTTTTCATTTGTTTTATAGTTAACCTGTCTGTTATTTGGATTATTCATCAACATACTTTTATCTTTCTAGGTGATATCTGAAATAATTGAAACCTGCCGAGCTCATGATTTCACAGATGTCATATTGGTTCATGAGCATCGTGGCGTTCCTGATGGTCTTGTTATAAGCCATCTACCTTTTGGTCCAACTGCTTACTTTGGGTTGCTCAATGTGGTAAGTGTTTGGATCTTCCTTGTGTATATTCAGATCCTTCTTTGGGGTGCTAGTTCAGAAATTGAGAATCATTACATGCTTGTGTAGGTCGCAAGACATGATATCAAGGACAAAAAAGCTATTGGAACCATGCCTGAGGCCTATCCACATTTGATTCTCGACAACTTCTCAACTAAGGTGATGTGTTGAATCTGTATAGCATTTTATGTTGCCCAAGAGATCCAACTGTTTGTAAAAGGTATAAGAATTGAGTGGGGTGTTCTTATATTACATTTTGTCAGAGCATCGAGTTTCCGTGATGTAATAGGTTTTTGGATCATATGAATGATTTGTTTTTACTTTTCTGTCTTCTTTTCTTGAGAAAAATGCTGAGTCTTTGACGTGCTTTCTACTTTCTGTTCATGTTGATGAAATTCTTATGGAAGTTTTCATTGACAATGTAGATTATATTGCTGGTTAGAAATGGTATGATGACCTTTTCCTTAAATTGTGGAACCTTTGATGACAGCTATTCGAAGATACAGAATTCCATTTAAATACTGATTTCTATGTGTCTTTTTGGGGTTTTAAATGGTTTGTATGATCCTTGGAACATTTAAGAGAGGATTTTCCTGTGCTTGTGCAAAACTGGATATGTTTATAAGAATGCGATGGTTTAAGTATTACCTCTCCTTCCCTATAAAGCTGAATTTGTGCACTTGTCCTCTGTGTCCTCATGTAATTTGTGCATTCTTCTAAAAAGTTGGTTTGATCTTTTTGTTGCTTGTAGCTCGGTGAAAGAACAGCAAATATTTTAAAGCATCTACTTCCAGTACCCAAGCCTGATACAAAACGAATTATCACTTTTGCTAATCAATCAGACTACATCTCATTCAGGTGTGTTTCTCATGCACCTTTCCTGATGGACGTGGTGATTCTGTTTTGTTAATTGCTAAAGGAGTTTTTAGGTGAAAAGGTTGTTTATTATTTAGCTTCTAAGTGACAGTTTTGATAGTTGTTGGTGGCATTTTTAAGCTTTGATGAGTCTTTTCATGCTGCACGTTAAGTATACATCAATCTTGTAATATTCATACTATTGCTTCCCATCTTTGTTGGATCTCATTAATTGATGGGAGAAAATATTGATGATTCAGCATTGCTCTTTCTTTTAAGGTGTTAGACAGGAGATATAGTTTTGATAAATGTGCCGCATTGCAAAATTGATAGATTGTGAGTACTTTTTTGCACCTGCGTAGGGTATATTTTTTCTATATTGAACCTTGAGTTGAAAAGCTCTCTGGGATATGGTTTAAGACACAGTACAAGGCTTGCCTAATGCATTTTTCCTTGCAATATGGCATTTTATTCTGGTTTTGGGTTTAGTTTTCGTTCTTCAGTGCAAGCAAAAGCAGAGAGAGCCAGGAAGAGAGCAGAAAAATAGGACAATGTGTATGCACCCCTTTGGAGAACATCGGATAATTTTGAGGGGGAGAGTTAGGTCTTTGCCTTATTATCAGATGTAGGAAATGTGATACATTCAATATTCTTCTGTCAGGATTGGACAGGTAGATATATGAGATTGGAGAGTTTTGGAGTTAGGACTTAAAATATGACATATTCTTTCAAATTTTTATTTTTTAATTGGTGGGATAAATTTGGTTTTTCACTGGGTTAAATAATGCTTTAGTGTGGCTCTTTCTTTTTCTTTCTACGGATTTTGTACTCAATATGCAGGCATCATTTATATGAGAAACGTGGAGGTCCCAAGTCCATTGAACTGAAAGAGATTGGCCCCCGCTTTGAATTGAGACTTTACCAGGTAAAACTCCAGTTTAATAGGAACAGTAAATATGCTTATTACGGTGGCTATTTGGAGACTTGAAGTTTAGTAGAAGTCGTGAATCCAACAATTTATAGCTTTTTGTTTTTAGAAGGGAAGTTTGTGTGGTGGTTTTGAGTTTTTGTGATAGCTCATTGCGAGTTAATTGGACACAACTTTTGTACAGCCTTCTCTCTCTCTCTCTCTCTCTCTCTCTCTCATGTGGTCATCATTAGTATTTGGGGTTCTTTCTCTTGCAGATCAAGTTAGGAACAATGGATCAAGATGAAGCTCAAACTGAATGGGTTTTGAGACCTTACATGAACACGTCCAAGAAGAGGAAGATGATCGGAGACTGACAGTAGTATTTAGAAAGATATTCTTGCAATGACTGTTTTCTGCAACAGTAGCATTGCTTTGGTTCCATACTTTTCCTGGTTGACGGTAACAGAAGCTGTATTTTGCTGTGGAGCATCAGTTTGGCTGGTTAGTAGGATGATTATAAAAGGTATACTTTGTCATTAATTGTTGGTTAGTTATAGGTAATTTCCGACGCTTAGACCCAGTCACTGCACGGATTCTGTACCAATACATTTTGGTAGTATTTGATCAATACTACAACCTGCAAAACAGTTGAGATGAAGAGTAGTAGGTGATCTGTATGCCTTTTTCTGCATCTGTTTTTAAAATTACGAGTGATAGAACATGAATTTATTTATGAAACGGGAGGCTTGTGCCAAACCAACAACTAATTGCGTTTTGTCCTCTAATTGTTATGTACCTTACTAGGGGGAAAATGCCGGCGCATCATGCGTGGGTGTTTGGTGCTTGTAATTAAAGAGGATTTTTCATTGGTCATATAATAATATATTCTGAAAAGAAATAGTCATTAAATATGATAAAATTATTAATAGTATATTCTAATTATAACATATGCTTTTACGTTTTATTTTATCAATGCTTTTACAATTTTACAATTATTAAACTATTTCTATAGATGTCAGTTAAAAATCGTTCAAGAGACGGAAGTTGTTTCAAACAAAGGAATACCCTCTAATGGTTAGTTATAGCAGCATGTTAACGTGTTAATTGCACATCGTGTTAATATGATTTTGTATTAATTGCACTATAAAAGTTACACTTTAATTAAATATGTCTATAACACTATTTTAATAATTATACCAACATATAAACTTATATGAGTTGTATTTGATGTAAAAATGATTGCAAAATAATTTCATATTTCGGAAATATTCAGCTGTTTCTATAAATCAAAAAATTAAATGTATCAAAAGGAGGGAATTTTGATAATTATATTTAAATACATGCAGCTGTATCAAAAGTTTTTAAAAAACTATACAACATTCCACGTTTTTTAAAAATTTCTATTCATGTAGTTGAAATTTAAACTTCTCTTTAGCTAGAACTCATTCTTATATAGTATAAGAATTTTTGCGTCACTATACCCATTCCACCGTTAAGGATAAGGTTTTTTAATTTTTTTCCCCCTCCCCCTCCTCCGGGGACAGCTCAAACCACGTTTGGTTTTTAATTCGGCAATTTTATGTCTGTGATCCGTAAGTTGGTCGCCTAGATGCTAATATTCGTTAATAAAGCTGGGGATTTCATTTTTGGGATTGCTATCATCTAATTGGCAAAGAGAAAACAATAATAATTGCGCTGAGAAAAAAAAAACTATAATGCATCCAGAATTGACGAATATTTGATGACGTTGTACAAAAATTTGCACTTTATTTCTGGTCTCCTTGCTGGATGAGGTATTGCATGAGTTTGGCGTACAAGTAGCAGTGTATTTCAATTGGCAACTGCGCGCAAATGAACAAGAAGCTGATCCGCCGATAAAATCACAGAAGCTCAAGTAAAAGAAGTCAATGGAGTACAAAATAAGAACTAAAAAGTGGGGGCGTAGTGATGCATTTAGCAGTGAATCCGAGAAAGGGCGGATCCTTTATGGTTCTCCTACTCCCGTTTTTGTTTCGTCCGCCCTTGAAATTTGAAGTTCTCTCCCGGAGCCCGTGCACGCATCACCGGCACTCCTTTGTCCCTTCATTTCATTTTATGCACGTCCACTCTAGCTTCCGTGGATCTTGCCCTTGCACAAATTCCGAGAATTTAATCCGTTACTCACTACCGGCAACCTGTTACTCCCAGTTTCCTCACTCCCACCAACTCCAGTGCCTAATGCTCCTCTTTTCTCTGGCTCACTTCCCTTCTAAAACCGGTAACTTCTTCCCCCTTCTTCACCACCACCAAAAAAAATCTCAAACAAAAAAAAAAAAAAACAAGAAGAAGTCCCTGCTCTGCTTCACTGCATATGAGTCTATGACTCCTTCCACAGACAAAAACTGAACAACTCAAACAACGTTAGAACTCCGAATCGACAATCATGAGTGGTCTAAGCAAGCATGGCGCTGCCCTCACCATAATCTTCGTCCTCTCATTAGTGGCTCTCTTTGCCCAGCTCTTTTACTTTCTATGGCGCCGCCGCGTCTTCCAACCTCAAACGCCACCCCAGGCAGCTACTACCACAGCCCCCACCAACTCCCACACATTCTCCGACTCGTCCACTAACTTTGCCTCCTCATTGTCTTCCTCTTCCAAAGAGCTCCTCTGCTTCCTCTGTCTCAGCAGCTCGCGAGTCGAACCCACCTCGACTCCACCGAGTCTGAACTCAACCGCCCAGGAGGAGGATGACATGGAGGTGATCGACATTTTCAAACTCCAGAACATGTACGGACCCTCGAGGGTTCTCTTTACCATTAAAGAAGAGGACAGCGAGAACGATGCGGAGCCTGAAAAGCCTGCAGTGTGCTCGTCAGCCACCACGAAGCCTAATACTACCACTAAGCGGGTGAGTTTAGAGGAGTGTTTTAATGCGCCCGATGATGGGTCCATCGGCGAGGAGGCGGAGGCAGTAGTGGCACTGGCAATAGGAGGTGACCGTATCAACAATGCTGGTGATCAAAGTGGGGTGATGACGCCCATTTCAACGCCTTGTGAATCACCTTTGTATTTTACTCCGTCGGCATCACCGGTTGGCGGGGAGCTGGTCAGATGCTAGATCAGTCATACGTGTCCCGATAGGCACCGCTCTTAGTTGTGTCTGGGTACGCACGAGTTTAAGCGGGGAAGGGAATTTTCCGGCTTCTTCTGCCCAGGACAAGTTTTGGGCTTTGGAGGCTGGAGCCAAGCCTGAGAATTGTTCTTAGTGGCCGGGCCCAAATTTTGTAACAACCACAAGTGTTCTTGGGCTTGTATAGTGGATTATAGCCCAGTGATCCACGTGCCCCGCTGGTTTGGATGGCAGAGTCCACTTCAATTAGACCTGATGTTCGTTTGCCCCGAAACGTACAGTTGTCAAAAAAATATGTATTTTCATATGTTTTCTTTACTACGAGGAGAGAACATCCCCAAGCCCATTTTGTTGCAAACAGATCCTTGGCAATTTGTTGCAAGAAAAATTTGCCCAGCGTCCATTTTCTTCTTTTATAAGACACAGTCAAATTGCAGGAAGTCTCGCCGCTGTTTCGTGCTCTTTGTAATAAGGTATTTGTGTAATTGATGATCACGAAATTCCTATGTTAGGAAGTCAGAAGTCACGACTGATGTGAATGGTGATAGAATAGAGAAGTTGTTTTATATACAAAATTGCTACTTGCTTTGTCTATGAAAAGTATTGCTGATGATTTTGCTTAGACTTTGTGGTGCCGTTTCTCAGTCAAATTTTGTTATATAGTAGTAGTAAATTATTTGTACGAAGATGACTGAATAAAATAAGGGAGTTGTAGAGAAGTTCACTTGCCCAATGACTGGCGTCCAGACGGTGAAAGGGTAGTCGATGCAACACACAGGTTCGATTGAGAAAAAGAAAGCGGAGCAGCCCCCACGTTTTCACGACTTCAGTGTCCATTTTCATAAATCAATTCATCAAAGTCGTCGTATGCTGTTGCGTAACTCCACGACTTTGAATGAAAAGCAAAATCATCAAATATATGATTATAGTATCTTTCAAGTCCTGCACTTGATAACTTTGAATAAATCGTCGCAGTACCTCTCTGAAGAGGTCGATAATGCAATTTAAGAGTGTGCTGTGTTGCGTAATACTTTTCCCTCTTTCAGCTTACGCAACGAGAGAGGCAGCTTCCTCTCTATTGTGTACCTTGAAACGCAAAGACACTTTAGTAACTCGTCAAAGTACAGCAAAATAGGTTATTTGAACAAGGTTATTTTAGCATGCGCAAATATGTTATAAGACTATTACTAGCCAAAGGATACAAGAAAACCCGAACCTGGCCAGCCACCCGCCCAGCAGTAATAATAATGACACATATAATGATAAAAGAAAGGGTTAATATCATTTTGCCTTTTAGGGATAGTCACATTTCACCACCTTCAATCTAAATGTTATAGAGTCATCACACGTTACCATCCCCAACATTACACACATACACACTTTACCCCCATAAAGACTAGTCAAAGTTAGAAATATAAAAAAAAAAAAAGAGTGCAATAATATTATTGCCCTTTTATGTATGAGATTACCTATAAATTACTATTTGTTTCCTTTCATTGCTAAAAGATATATATTTTCTCTAAGGTATCAACTATACAAAAATATTAAATTGAAAAAAGCTCAAAAAATATTTACATTTAGGTTATATCCTTAAAATTCTTCTTGTTGGGTTAATGTTCACCTTTATATGTGATTTGTTCAAATTACTAGTCTTTATATTAGACAAAAGGGATAAATAGCAAAATGCTAAAAGCAAATACAGTTAAAAAAATTTTGAACAAAAAAAGTAATAATAAACTTTTTTTTTGAAATTTTTTTTTGGTTTATGTAAACTTCTATACTAATATTATTGTCATTTTTTTATCAATTTAGTTAAATATTAAATTCTTGATATAATTTGTTGAAAATAGTTAATATGCCTTATTTTTAAACTTGGAGAATGAAAATTGAGATCAAATCAAATAATTCATTTTTTGAGGAAAAAAAGAACAATGGCAGTAAATTATAAATAATGTCAACAACATATGAGCCATACTATGACAACACTCTCACTTTCTTTAATGGAGTTAAAATTTTCAAGCTTGGCTAATCTTTGAGGAGGGGGTTAAATGCATATTTTTAAGGTTAAAGGTGATCAAGTGTAACTACTCCCTAGGATAAATGAATAAAAAAAAAGAGTGTAACTCTTCTTATATGGTTTAGGGGAACAGAGTGTTACTATTAATATTTTAGTTAGTTTGGGAGAGAAAATAAAAGAAGAGAAAGTTTAAGTTAGAAAAGAAAAAAAAAAAGGAGAAAAATAGAGTGTAATATCTCTTCATGTTGTTTGGGAGTTTTGGCATTAAGCAATTTTCTTTTATTTGGGGGTAAAGAGAAGTAAAAGCAAAAGATTCTATTTAACACAAATGCCCTTAAAGCTTGGAATTCACATAACATAAAGAAAACGTTGTATTATAGTCATTATAAGGGCAAAATTGTTATATTAAAATTTTCACTTTACATGCTTTCCTTTCTCGCGTTTTCTGCCCAATTTTGGGCTGACGGGTTTTCCTCGCTTGAAAGGGGTGTCGCATCTAGTGCTGCAAACGAATCAACCCGCTCGCGAGTAGCTTGAGTCAAGCTCGAGTTGAGCTCAATCAATATTGAACTCAAAATATTAAACTCGTTAGCTCGCTAGTCGGCTCACGAACTCGAGTATATATATATATATATATTTTTTAATTTTATTATATTTTTATTTTAAGTATATATATATTTTTATTTGTTTATTTTAAGTATATATATTTTTTATTTTTTTATTTTAATAGTAAAATTACATATATATCCTTAATATTTTATTATTTGTTTAAAAAAATATTATTTTACTTATTTTTTAAAAAATAAAATAATTATTTTTTATTTTTTTCGAGCTCGAGCTCGAGTTCGAGTTCGAGTTTAAGTTCAATAAAATTAAGTCAAGACTCGACTCGATTAGGCCAAAACTCAACTCGACTTGACTCGTTTGAAGGCATCCCTTCTTTTATTTCCATTTCTTCCCCATTAAAACTTTCAAATGCCAGAAGGATTTCACTTTCTCTCTAGTGCCATTTTTTCTCACCAAATCCGTCCTCCCAGACGGGCTAAAAAATGGAGAGATGATACGTCATTAAGGATTGACCGTCTGCGAATGACCATAGTACCCACCACCCGGGTTCAAATCGTCGGTCGCACACATATTTTGTGTCACGTCACGTGTCTTTTGTTTCTCCTCCTTTTCATCAACATAAGTAGATAACGTGCGAATGGCATTCAGCCAAAAGTTTCGTCGTCCTCCCATGTGCGCGGCACGTGGGTCTCCCTGTCTTTTATGAGCTCGTTAAACTCTTCGCGCGTGGTGCCACCAAAATAAAACGTTGTTCCACATATTAGGGTTTCCTCTGCTTCTTTTGCCTACTTTAGACCTCCGCCGCTTCTGCTTCCAATCCTGTCCTTCCTTCTTTATTTTCTTTTTTGTTCTTTTGTTTTTCATCTTCATCTATCTATCGAATAGAAAACTTGATCCTTTCCTTCTTCTCGGCCACCACTTCTCAAATCCCCCAATTCCCCCAACCCCTAACGACAACCACCACCACCACCGCTTCAATTCTTTCTTGGCGTTGATTTTGGGAGGTGGTCAGGTTTCGGCTGGACGGCTTGCTTGAGGTATTGACTTGTTCTTGTTTTTTTTTTTTTTGAGACCAAAGGTCTTGTGATTGCTACTTGGGAGGCATCTCTTATTTTCATCCAAATCCAATAGCTCCGCTGCTTGTTAATTAATTTATACCGATAAAAGTACTCGACTGCTATTGTAAATGGGAAGGTTCTCATCTTTTCTCTTGTTATTTTCGGCTGTCGGAATCATCTGCTCCACCGGCTGGCAGGAAGAGGAGTGGCCGGAGAACGAAGAGGGAGAAATGCTTCAGCAATTAGCTCTGTCTATAAAAAACAGAAAAGGAAAAAAAATTAAAAAAGAAGACGATGGTGGCAATTTGGGTTCTTATACAAGGGTTTGTTTTCCAAAAGGTACGTACTTTGTTTACTCTTAGTCTTTACCCTCTTCTTTTGCTTTTCCTTTTTTTTCCTCTTTTTATTTAACCTATCCGTTTCCCATCTTTTCTAGAGTATTTAATCTCATATATAAACATCCGCAAGAATCATAGAATTTCATGAATTGTTGCCCTTCTTTATGACTAATTATTATAAAGTCGTTGTTCAAAGAATTTCATTGGTACCTTTCTCAATTTTAGTATATGAAACTGTGTCTAAAAAACTTAAAATTTTAGGGCGTACAAGAGCTTTCTTATATGGTGGACACAAGTAAATGAATAAATGGCCAAAAACTACACCTCCGTTATCCCCCACTTGAACTACCACCTGTAGTTACACCGGACACAGTTCTATTTTTTCTCTTTTCGCAGGGGCTTTTCTTGATTAGCTATTCTGTCTCAGTGTATTTTTGTGACGATGAGTTCTGCTTTTTTTTTTTTTTTTGTCAAAGTTGATATCTGTGATCTCTTTTTGTAATTTTATTATTATGGGTCTTTGTCTAACAGGCTTTGGAAGAACTGGATGTTTGGATGCTAGAGTCATCTTGCTATCAATGATCCATTTATCACCACTGATTACATGGTAAGTTCAACGACCACTTGTTATTGCAGTTAATCATGAGTTAAGATTGAATTTTTATGCTGTTCTTTAGGAATTAGGAGATCCCTAAAAGTTGTAAAAAAGGTGTAGTTGTTGATCAAGTTATGTTCTGGATATGTGCTTTTCTGAACTGTGCGATCTTTTCTCTAGAGGATTGCTTGTATGCAAGTTAAAAATGTGTCTGTCATCATTTTGTACTGTGTATTGAGAAAATTTTTGTTTTACCATTTTACCTTTTTTGTGATTTTCTACAGGCTGTGCAATTGGTGTAATTGACGATGATGCTAAAATTTATTGAGCTTTTTTCATTGCTGAAGACTTTTGCAAAATATTCTACTATATATAGTTGTTTTGCATCAACTTTTGGCTTTTCTATTTGTGGTATTTGAAATATGAAATATGCAATTCCCTAAACAGTCTTTCTGCTTGTTTAGTTTATAGATGAAAATGGACGAAGGCAACATGTGTGGCAGACATCATGGGCTATTAGCATGCAAATTGTTGGAGGTACTATCATGATTCATGGTGATGGCACTGGCTTAATGCTTCCACCTAAGCTGGCACCTGTACAGGTATTCAAAAATGTTTTCTACTGGTTGTTCATTTTATTTCCCTGATACTAATGTTTGCCTGTAATCTGCTTTACATTAGCCTTTGCTTATTTTGCTTTTAGCGTTAGTAGTTTATGTGACTTCGTACTGGTCTTGAGTGCTAACTGTGATTTACAAATGCCTAAGTTGGCCTTTAACTTTTCACAAATCTTTGTTGCACAAGAGCTTCTTTTTTATTAATTTTTCATATTCATTACATGCTTGGAAAGGAGAATCTTCTTCTGACAAAGACTGATTAATTGTTTCTGAGCATATTGCACGTTTTTGGTTGATTTACTGGCTATGTTTGCTAATGTTTGTGCTCGAAAGATAGAGTGAATGGGGGCTGGGGATAGATGCAGTGTTCTGACAGAGACTGATTAATTGTTTCTGAGCGTATTGCACGTTTTTGGTTGTTTTACCGATTATATTTGCTAATGTGTGTGCCCAAAAGGTAGAGTGAACGGGGGCTCGGGATGGATGCTGTGTTTTGAACTCAATGGGCTGATTAATTTTCTCAAAGATGATTTTTTGAATCCTTATTTGGTTTCCTAAACTCCGACAGGTTTTGTATTTCTAGCATTACATTAGTTCTGCAACTTTTGTTTTGATTTTGGTCAAGAAATTGGACTCATCAGTGCAGTAAAGTAACAGCTCTCTGCTTCCTAGCTATGTGCATAAAAAATTGTCTTTCTTGAGATAGAATAGCTCTTATTATTGACTGCTTTCGGCTTGTGTGATTGTCCCAATATGGAAGAAAACAGGTGACAGAACTATAGTTCTTAATGCTACATCATCAGTGAAAGAAAACTCTGCAAGTAGCTGGAATAAAGGTCAAGGTTGATGACTCTGATCAGAGAACACCTGGATGGAAATATAACTTTTGGGAGATGAAGGTTTGCCCTGCTTCTGTAGATGTTCTGTATCTTGCCCAATATCTAGCTTGCCATTGGACTTCTCCCACCAAAGGATGAGTGACAATAAGAGAAATTTAGGGAGAGGAAAATTCCAAATGCATGGCCACAAACATTGCAAATGATTTTTTTCCTGGGAATATTAATGCATGCGGGACTACATCTAAACTAACTTCCTTGGAGCTTTAAGATTCCTGAAGGTTAATTGTAATAAATCTCACCAAGCTTGGTTACTTTTAAGACTTGTCACCTTACTTCACTTCACTTGAGCATCTAGAGGTATTGTTTAAAATTAGTTTGAAAAAAAAATCAACTTGAGTGGCTAGGTTCCAATTGTGATTTGTTCAACCAAAACTTTTTGAAGACTGGCTTGAATAATTAACAAGTCAAGTGATATCTATTGAAGGCCAGCTCAACTAGAGCTATTTCAGTGATTGTTGGCTTTGTTTTCTGAAAGGGTATGAAGTTTCAATTTTGAAACGTCTACTGTTGCTGTTAACAATTTCATATTTGGAAGTGATGTGTATGGATCTCAAGAAATACTATTTTACAGTTGAATGTAATACAATTGTGCTTTGAAGTTTACCTACCTTTTCTGCAGGGAGTACCTTAAGAATTGAGATTGGACCTCGTGATGTGTCTACAGGGACTGTGGTCATTTCCAGAAGAGATATTCCTAGAAAAGAAGGAAAAGATTTCGGGATATCAATGGCTTCTTCAATTTTTGTTGCTTATGTTTAAGGGTTGTTGGATGGGATTCGTAGTTGCCTGCTGGAGAGGGCAACCACTTTCATGAGCTTTTTTTTTTGGAATTTTAATGAAACATGTCCTTCAAGACATTGGTTCTTTTCTTTTGTAAACTTTAATTACTGGTAGATTGTTAGCTAAGTGCGCTAGCAGTAATCTCTTGATTCTTCTGGTGTTGTGTTACATTTTTTTTTACTCCAATTTCTTCATCTTTCAAATAATATTGATGTCCTTGACTGTATATGTATTTCCTTAATATAGTATTTCACAACTATTTATACTAAATTGGGCATACACATTTTTATCTCTACCGCGCAGCGCGCGGTTTATACCTCCTAGTTCCATAGAAAGTAAGAAAACTTTTGTCAGCAGTCTGGCTTCACCAATTCACGAACACCGTAAATCCGAAAAGCCATGACCCAAAATCCACCAATACCTCAGCAGTACAAATCTTTTGTGGTACGCCTTAAAAGACAATAACCCAATTATTCTATTCTGCTACAATTACTACCACTACAACCACCACCGCCACCACCACCCATGGAATTCAGAAACTAGAACCATTAAATTACTCGCTCAAGTTTAATTTAGGGTTAATTACATTTACCTCCCATGAGGTTTGATCATATTATCAATCAATCCCTGTAATTTGTCCAAATAACGGTCTCACCCTTTGAATAATCAAACGTTTAACAAAAACCCTCTTAATGCCGAAAATGCCCTTTTTGAGGCCATATTGCATTAAAAAAGAACATATTTTTATTTATTAACCTTCAAGTAATCCAAAAAAATAGAAAAAAAATTTTGCTTATTATTTTATAAAAATCATATCTTTGCTTCCATAAATAGTTTTGAATCAGTAATTATTTTAAATCTTAAAAATGAATATTAAAAATTAGATAAATTGAAAGAAAATAAAAAAGAAGCAATTATTTTAAATCCTCAAGTATGGTTCGAATTTGTGGTTCAAGGCATGTTGTGGAGAGTACAAGGCATGTTTTCCTCAATTTGAACCATACTTCAGGAATTAAAATAATTTCTTATTTTTTTATTTTTCTTTCAATTTATCTAATTTTTAATATTCATTTTTAAGATTTAAAATAATTATTAATTCAAAACTATTTATGAAAGCAAAGATATGGTTTTTATAAAATAATAAGGAAAAACTTTTTTCTATTTTTTGGATTGCTTCAGGGTTAATAAAATAAAAATATGTTCTTTTTTTAATGCAACATGGCCTCAATAAGGGCATTTTCGACATTAAGGGGGTTTTTGTTAAACGTTTGATCATTCAAAGGGTGAGACCGTTATTTGAACAAATTACAGGAATTGATTGATAATATGATCAAATCTCAGGGGAGGTAAATGTAATTAACCCTTTAATTTAAGGGGGTTGGCTCTAGGCATCCATTTATTTCTTCCGTGATTTCCTCGCCCAACCATAGAATCCGACCGAGTTAAAAGAAATGTGTAAGGTTTAATACTTACAATTACATATTAATTTAGAGTTTTGGTGCAGAAAAGTTGAAAATAATCCTTAAATATCCTGGGCATCTATTTAAAATCCTATGGAATTGTTTGGCGGCGATGACAAGTGAAGAAGAAAGATGATGGTAAGATGTTGTGCTAGACAGACTTGCACGTAGGTATGCCCATGGTTCCAGAATCGCCGGTTCTAGTTCTTCAAAGAGGTAGAACCAGAACTGCATAGTTCTGATTTTGGTTTCTTATGGTTTTCGTTCTGGTTTTCGGTTCCGTATGGTTGTATACAATTTTATTTAATTTCTTATCCTTACTAATTTTAATACGAATATAACAATATATTTAAAATTTCAAATAAAATGTAAAAAATTGAATACAAAATAAATATCATATTTTAATTTTATTATTATTCCACAAAGTAAGAAGTAATAAATAGATAATATAAATTTTATGAAAAGTACATTACATTGTCAAATTAAAAAATACATTATATTATTAAATGGTTGTCATGTGTTGACTTTCTTGAGTTGGACAATCATCAACGTTGAAGATTCCATTTGAAGAAATATTGCAAAAAATATTTTTTTGCTTGCTTGATTTTGAAGATGAGCTACTACCATCAAAACTTGTCATTTGATAGCAAATAAGCAAAAAAAAAATTGTAAGTAATAATTTAATACTTACAAATTATAATGATAGATATTAGATGAATAGAAAGAATTAAATAATTAATAAAATATATAAAAAGTCCATAAAATTTAAACTTTCTTAAACCTATTAAACACAACTAATTTTTTTTTTGAATTATCTCACTACTTATATTAATTATTTTTAACGATTCTAGAACCGATGGTTCTGGTTCTGGTTCTATTTTTTAGAGAATCAGAACTGAAACCTTTATCCAAGGCTCTGCCACGATTCTGTTCCATAATTTTGGTTTTGGTTTTGATCCGGTTCCAAACGGTCCGATTTCCGATTCTAAATGAAACCATGACCATGCCTACTTGCACGGAGAACAAATAGGAGAAATTAGTACAACTACGGAGCGTGTGCAACGTGTCTTCCTATAATTGGTTCTACTGAATACCGACCGCAACCATGCGACCGAGGATTTGGTGGCCCCGCCCCACCACACCCACCCAGCCAGAGAGTGCGGCCAATTCAAAATTTGAATCTCTGGGGATGAAAAGTAGTAGGGTCCACAAATTTGTCGTCTTCAAAAAGAGTAATGCTTAACGTACCACTTTGCCGACTTCTTCTTTTTGGTCCTCTCCTCACTCATACCACTGCCTTGAGAAGTTTAACGCTGTTCGAATCATCGATTTAGGAGGCTCATCTAACCAATTATTACGCAATTTAATACCAATAATCGGTTTCTGATCTTTTTTTTTTTTCCGGCAACGATTTTTTTGGTATAACCAATTATTACATTCTTAATAGTTATATAACCTATTTTATCCTAATTTATAGAGAGAAAAAACCTAAAAAAACTTGTGTATAGAGGCTAGTAGTTGTGCAAATCTAATTAGATAAAGGAGTGCTGTGACACTTTTTTTGAAATTTTTTTTTTTTATAGGTGAAATTTAAACTTCCCACTTACAGCCCAAGTCCCTACTCCCTACCTGTTGCCCACTCAGTTAAACTCAGTGGTTAATAATCAGTTGCTGATCAATGAAAAAGTTTAGTGACAACACGTAATAAAAGTCAATCTAGAGTCTTTAGATAATTTATTCCGATAACTTCAACCTCATCACTTCTCTCGCGAATCCAAATACTATACCGTTACGCTACTCTCTAACAACCCAAACCACTCCGTATCCATTATAGATATTCAGGAAGGAAAAATAAAAACCAACAAAGAGGAAACTGAAATTACTAACGAAAAAAAAAATTTCTCGTTATTTATTTACACCAACATGAAACAGTAGCGTGACTGCCGATGATCGCACATCATATACTACTCCGAAACAACAAAAAAACACAAAAAATATGCAGCAGAAGGTGAATACGAACAACGCTGGGGAAAAAGGAATCGCAGCGGATCAAATTCTAAGTATAATAATAACAAAAAAGAATAGAGTAATACTGCTATGACCCTAAGAAGCGGGGGTGGGAAAAAGAAGCAAGTGTGTAGGCCATGAATCAATCAAGCACCGGGCGAAGAAGGCTACCAATCAAGACCGCAGCGTTTGGTCTGGAATGTCCCGGACGCTGTGCCATTGGAGTTCAAAGGAATCTCCAAATCGCACTTGATCTTGGGCTTAAACTTCGGAGACTTCACCCAACCGAACTTCAATCTTATGCGCATATACAGCTCCACATCGATATTATACAAGCCGGAACTCTTATCGTCATTGTAGTTGGAAGCCTCGTCGCTTCCCGGCGTCACCAATTGCTGCCCCTGGAACACGGCGTGCAAGGAGCTAGTGTTCTTGTGAGGCTGGTAGAAGGAATCCAGTTCCACGGTCTTAAGCCTCTGGCCTTGGTAGAATGCATTGGCCTCGATCCTATCGTAGTAAATCCCGATCCTCTTGTTGGGGTTCCGGACGGTCATGTTGAGGGCCAGGTTGTAGTAGAGGGTGTTGTTGGTGTTGGACAGGTCGAACTGAGTCAACTCGGCGTCGTTTGCGTAGAACTTGACCTTGTTGGGGCGGAAGATCAGCCACAGGACCAGGATGATTATGCCCAGGACGACGACGATGGTGCAGAGGATTTGGAAGATGCAACTGAGGATGCAATTGCAGAGGCAGCCGCAGCAACAGCTGAAGGGGTTGCAACTGCTGCCGCCGCCGCGTCCGGGGCGGTGGTAGTGCTTTGGTGGTGGAATGGATGGGCCATAATAGGCTCCGTTCAAGTGTGGCTCAGGCATGCTCTTGCCGATTCAGACTATTCAGAGAGACAGTGGGAGGGAGAGAGAGAGAGAGAGAAGGAAACAAAATTAT